CACTAGACAAACAACATTAGTAATAAATTGTTTGTTAAACATCATCAAAACAAGAAGGCCAACATGTTGGAGCAACTTCTGTACAAAAAGAAGAAAAAGAAGAAGGCTACGCGTATCCCACGGAAGCCGGTGGGAGAAAAGGAATGGGAACCTACTCCTAATCAGACGACTGAACAGGAGGATAATGTCGAACTTCTGTTAGATCACTCCTCGAAGTCCTCGGCAGGAACATCATGCACTGGGGGTACTACCCGGGACAAGAGATTCCATGAGTTCCAAAGCCAACTCAATGCCTTGAAGCTCCAACAAAACATGAACAAACTGGGGGTGGTCAGACCATACATTATCGAGTGGGACACTGATAATCACATTTTATTATAATTTTATACCCTCATTATCTATTTTACATGAATAAATATACCATTAATAATTGTTGTTAGCTTAGTTTCCACATAATTGAATAAAAATATAAAAAAATATTATTAAATGTAAAAACCCCTAAAAATCTCTCTTCTCTATTTTGTAGCATTTTAGAAGCCTGTGAAGCAAAAGCTTAAAAGAGGAAAATGATCAAAAGCCCAAAAGAAGCCCATGATTGAAAGAACTTGGATCATTTCAAGCAACTTCGACAAAATGATTCTCTAGTCCCCGCCATGTCTGCACGTTGCCTGTAAAAATCATTTTAGAAGCCCAAGGTTGGAAGCCCTTCAAGCTTGGCCCAAAGAAAAAAAAAGCACATTCCTAATCCATCATACTGCACATTATATTCAAGTGAGCTTGAAGGCCCAGCCCATCAAACCGAATTTTGTTGCTGCAGTTTTGGATTTCAAGTGGACCGAATATAACTCAAAGACTTGGCTTTTGATTTTTCAAAAGCAAACGAAACTCTCGTCGTAGAGTTCGACCAAGCCAAGTATGAGGAGGTCCTCTCCTCTGGGTCCCTTAGCCCTAAAGCTAGGCGTGATACCCACAGGACCTCTACGGAGGTCAACACTACTGCTGAGATGCTAAAGAAAGCCCTCTCCTTTGGCCAAGACCTTAAACTCGCTCTGCGAGTTGAAGATTCCTCCCCCGTATCACTTGTTTTCTTTGCTGCTGAGTTTGGTTTTGAAATCATTGTGTATAGATAAATCAAATGGGCTTCTCCGCATTTGGACTTGAGTGCTGCTACAAATTGGATTTTGAATTTCTTTTGAAAATCAAATAAATCATAGGTGGAGATTGTTGCTTGGGGCTCAAGACAAATCCAATGGCTCATATTTATTGAAAATTACTATAAATAGGGGTAGAGAGTGAGGGGTTAGAGGAGTGAAAATTTTTGTAACTCATTTTGGAGAGGAGGGCTACTCTTAATTGAGAAGGCCTTCCAAAATTGTAACTTTTGTTGCAATTAATAATAATAATTTTTTTCAGCACTTTAAATTTTTTTCTTCTTCTCTTTGTTGGATGATGAATATGAAGATGAAGATGGAGAATTATTTGAAGGTTTGCATTTCTTTTCTTTTTCTCTTTTATTACTTATTAGTTTAGATTTATTTCTATGCTTGTAGTTAGATTTTATTTTCTTGTTAAATAGACAAGAGGCTAGAACCCTCTTGCCTTAGATTTATTTCATGCTTATAGAGTAGATTTATTTTTTTTCATTTAATTCTAGTAATTTTATTTTGTAGTTTAGATTTTGTAATTTATTTTATAGTTAGATTTTAATTTCTTACACTATTCACCTTGAGGCTAGAACCCTCTTGAGTTTAGTTTTTCTTTTTGTTTACATTTATTTTGTTTGATTCGCCTTTAGGCTAGAATCCTCTAGGGAATCACCCTTTTTTAAGAAGTAGGTTTAATTTTAGATTACCCATATCTATAATTGAATCCACCATTTTAATTTCTTGTATTTTCTTTTATTCTAGAATTTTGTTCTTCATTCTTGATTTTTTATTTGTTTCTTGATTTTATTTATTTTTCCTTCTCACCTTGTTGATCATACTCATTCTCTTTTTCATCCACTCTCACTTACACTTTGCACCTACTTACACACCACTTTTACTCTTTCAATCTCTTCACAATCATATTCACTCACCAATCTTATTTGTCACGCACACAACATAAGAATCGATTTTATATTTTCTCCTACAAAACACCTTCCTCGTGGGATCGATATCTTAAATACTATAACTTGACACGGTTGTGCACTTGCAACCTTTTTGGTACATGTTTATGCCGCAACAAGTTTTTGGCGCCGTTGCCGGGGAAGGTGCTTAAGTAGGTTTTAATTATTCTGGTTCTTTAACTTGTCTGTTTTTTGTGAAGGAAACGCTTGGAGCTTAAAGATCGTGGATTGGAGAATTAGGATTTGAAGATTTGCTTTCGGGTAAGTCCTCTTTCTAGTTTTTAATTCCACCCTTTAGCTACTTCTTCACATTTAGAGACAATTAGGACTTAAAAAAAAGAGATTTTATTTTTTGTTGACCATAATAAAATTCATCCTTTACTTTGACATTTACTAACAAGATAATAAATTCAAACAAATCCCCCCTTCTCATTTGTTTGATTGTTAACCCTAATTAAAAAAAAGATTTTTCTTTTCCATCCTTTTTAGTTGCTTTTAATTCATAGGGTTGCATTTCATATAGTGTAGGAATTCACCAAGTGATTTGAGCATCTTGATTTGGCACACACTTTAAAATATTTTTAAGGGCAAAACCCCATAATCAAGATAAGGTGAGGGATTTCATCACCCTTTCCTTAGCCCAAAAATCACTAATTCCTCACTACACCACCCAAGCCTAATAAAACTCATTAGACGTTGGCCCCTAAGGATTCGAGCTCAATAAGGAACAAGAAATCCTTAAGTGAACTGGTTTAAGTTTTCTCAGATTAGTTGGTGTCTAAGGCATGGTTTAGGGGTTGCGTAAAGCGCTCCACAAGGAAAGAGGTACTTAATTAATCTTTGATCACCCTCTAGTACTATCCTTACCTGGCTAACTACCTGGGTAAAACTTTGATCTTTTCACTGTAGGAGTTTTTGGTTAGGAGCTAGTCTAGTTGAGTTAGGCTAAACCCTAGAATTAAAGTGATTGAAAAGTGATTGCTTTGATTTGTTTTAGTTAGGATTTTTTCTTTTTCTTTATCTTTTTATTAAAAAAAACTAATTTTCTTTCTTTCCTTAAAAAAAAGAAATATTTTGGTGTATGCAACAGTGGATTAGGGATAATACACGTCGATTAATTTGCTTTGAACCAATCATAGAAATGGAGCATCCTAATCCACCCGTTCTTCATGATATGTGCTATCCTATTAGGAATACAATTCCCTCGTGCATTAGGCTCCCCGAAACAATTGGAATAAGTTTTGAGCTTAGACCGCAATACATAAACATGCTTCCCAAATTTCTTGGTAATGAAACAGAAGATGCATATATTTTTATTTCGGAATTTGAGGAAGTGTGTATTATGATTAAAATGAGAGAATTAAACGAAGATGCGATCAAACTCAGATTTATTCCATTTGCTCTTAAGGATAAAGCTAAAAAATGGCTGTACAGCTTACCAACAAATTCCATCTCAACTTGGGATGAATTTGTCACCGTTTTTCTTAAGAAAATTTTCCCTATTCATAAAACGGTAAAGCTTAGGAACAACATTCAAAACTTTAAAATTATCCCGGGAGAACCTTTTTGGAAGTATTTTGACCGATTTAAAGATTTTCTCATCAAATGTTCTCATCACGGTTTAGAAAAATGGCGATTGTGCCAAATAATTTATGAGGGATTAGATTATTCTGCAAAAACTTCCTTAGAATTAATGTGCCACGGGGATTTTATGAGGAAAAATGCTGATGAAGCTTGGGAGTTTTTGGAGAGACTTTCTGAAAAAACAATGCAATAGGAACAGTGCGATGATAAGGTTTCATCAGTTCCACAATCTAAGTCTTGTGGTC